TATATATTATTAAATAAAAATATTATTTATTGAAAAAAAAAAAAATATATATATATATATATAATATATTTATATATATTTTTTATATTATATTTTTTATGATTTTCTTTTTTTTAAATATATATATTTTATTTAGTTAATTTTTTTTTTATAATATAAAGTTTTTTTTTAAAAAGAAATAATAATAAAATATATAAATAAAATTTAATATAAATATAATTTTTATTATATCTAAATATTTATTAATATATAATTTCATTATTAACTATTTTATTGAAATTATACTAAATCAATTTATTATTTAATATAAATATTATTTGTAAAAATCGGCTTCATATATTATTCTTCAAAATTTGCTAATTTTTAATTAAATTTGGACATCTATAATTTATTATCAACACTATCTATACTATTATTAGAATTATTTATTTTTAGTTCACATTCTTCATTTTTTAATCCTATTTTTTTTCCATATATTTGCATTAAACTTCCTAAAATAAAAGTAGTGAAAATTATTATTAATAATACTACAGTTACTAGTGTTTCTATATTTTCACTTTAAAACATTAAAATTAAACCGAATGAAACTGCGCCTATGTATAAATATATAAATATATATATAAAATAATATATATTAATTTAATATAACCTCTTATATTTCCAGAATACCATACCATTAATAATTATTATTTATTTAATTTCTATTCTCTTTTAAATATATAATTAATAAAATTTAAACTAAAAATAGCCGTAAATCTAGCTATAAACATAGATAAAATACAATAAATAGCAAACATAAATTGCAACTATGAATAATTAACATTTAATAAAGATACTCCTATATTATATATATATATATATATATATATTATATATATATATATATATATATATATATATATATATATATATATATATATATACCTAAATATACAAAAACAAAAGCTTCAGCTAAATATCCAATAGTTTCTATAGATAAATGAGTTCCTTTTTATGATTCTTTTGAAATATTTAAATATGTATAATGTCCCATTATTAAACCACAACAAAAAAGTGATATAATTCCTGAAAAATGCAATACTTCGGCTATTAAATATGAAAAATATCCACAAATAAAAATTATAGACATTTCTTTTAATGGGAAAAGAGAAAAAGAGGTGAATTTTTTGAAAAATAGAGATATTAAAAGTCCTATTGAAATACCTAAAAAAATACTTCCAAATAATAATTTCAAAAAATCTAAGCAAATTAATATAATTTTCGAAATATCCATATTTTAGTCAGTTTCGGTTACATAATTTTTTATACTTCTAAAAATTACTATTGAAATTGCATCATTTATTATACCTTCACCGAATAAAATAGAATTTAATTAAGGAAATTAATTCACTTTAACTAAACTTAAGGCTGTTACTGTATCTGTTGCACATAATACGGAGCTAAATAATAATAATTCGGATGTATTTATAGGAAATTTAATTATAAAAGTAATATTTTAAACCTGAATGGTAAGTATAGAGATTATTATAAAGGTTATTATTGTTCCAATTATACCATAATATGTTATCAGGAAGAAATTTTAGAAAAACAATATCCGGCGAATATTAAAACCACCTGCAAATATTATAGGAGGAAGAATTAAATTAAAAAAAATTTCATGATTAAATTCAATTTTTTTACCTATTATTAATTATATAATTAGACCAAATAAAGCGCCTAAAAATATAGATATAGAAGATTCATGTAAAAATGTTATCTTTTTTTTTTTTATTAATATTAAATGTATATTTACACTTAATTTTTACTTTTTTTTATTCAATTATATGAGATGCTATAACATGTATTATTAAAACAATTATAAATATAATAATAAAAAGAGAATATAATTCCATATTTTTAATTTTCAGGTTAATTTATTAAAAAAATATAAGATATATATATATATATATATATATATATATATATATATATATATATATATATATATATATATATATATTTATAACATATTATTCAAATATCTATATTTAAATATAATTTATATATGTATGAATATTTTTATTTTATATTTTACGATATTATAATATTAATTTTATATTTTTGTAAAAAAAAAATAAAAAAAATATGGAAACTAATAATTATAAAAAAGAATATTAGAAAAAAAATCTTTTTTTAAGAAAATTTGAATCATATATAACACTTTCGAATTATTTAAAAAAACTTTAAATATATGATTAAAATAAATGTTAATAATGTAAACATTTTAAAGGATGCTTTTTTAATACTCTAGATTAAACTTTTAAGGCTTTTCTACTTGGATATTCTTCTAATGCTTTAATAAATATATTTTAAATTATAGTTAAATTAAAAAAAAACAAAATGTTTATATTTGAAATACTTTCTAAATGTATATATAATAAACAAATTTTAAGATTTTCCTTATTACCAACATTATATACTTTAATAATGTAAAGTTCTTTATGTTTAATGAGAAGATAAAATATCTTAAATTCATCTATTTAAGCATTTTTAAGCGGGTTTATAGCAGGTTTTATAAGTTTATCTACTCGAGAATAATCAAATAGAAAGATTTGGGCTTTATTTTTGATTACAAGAGCAATTGATTTTATATAAAATTCATTAAAAAATAGGTAAAAATTACATTTTTTCTATTATATAAATAATATATATATATATATATATATATATATATATTTATATATTATATATTTTTATTTTATTTTTTTTTATTTTTTTATCTCATTATATTTTTATTTTATTTTTAATATAGAAATATTATTAACTAAAGTAATTTTAATTATACATTAGCTTTTTGTTTTATGTATATTTTAATTGGATATTCTTATATGCATAATCCAGAATTCTTACCTAAAGGTTTTGATAAATTTATAAATGATTTTACATTTTAAGATAAAGCTGAAATATGTTTAAGAAATTGTATACTTTAAAAAAGTAAAATTTTATAATAAAAATAATGAAATTTAAGATTATTTTTTAATAAGTTTTTTTTAGTAAAAATATTTTATTTTTGTTTTCTATTAATTTAAAATCTATATATTTTATTTTATATTTTTATAATAAAATTTTTAACTTTTAAATTATTAAAATTTTTATAAAAATATAAAAAGTACATTAAAATTAATAAAACAATTTTTTTTTATTTGTATTATTAATTAATAATATTTTTTTTTATTTAATTTTTAACATTTTTTTAAATATTTTGTTAATTTTATTTATCGTTAAATATTTTTTTTTTTTTTTTATTTTTTAATCTAAATATATATGTTTTTATGATGATTATTTTTTTTAAACTTTATTAAATTTAATATATAAAATTTAATATATTAAATTTAATATATTAAAATTTAGACGCCTATTTTTTTAAAAAATTACATATTTAATAAATAAAATATATTTAGATTTTTTTTTCCTAAATAAAAAAAAATGTAAAAACTCTAATATGTTTTTTTCAAACAGGTTTATTACTATAGCAATCTGGTCCATAGAATCCTTTAAGGCAAATACATCTATTGTTTATGCAAACTCCGTTTGCACTACAGAAATTGGGACAGAATCTTTTATATCTACAAAACTTGAATATATTATCTGGACATACAATATATCCACTATATCCTTTAACTGACAACTTTTATGAATTTTACTAGCAAACGACTTTCTATCCTGCAACTAAAACATACACTTCTCTTCCTTCAGCAGCACATTAAAATTAATAGCAATTACCTTTAGGTATAGTTTCTGGTTAATATCCTAGCTTCAATATAGTCGATGGAAAGCATCTTGAACTAATTCCAAATTTAGTTCCAAGCATAATAGCATTATTTTATGTGTTCAAATTACTTTTAATATCCCAGCATTTTGAATTAGAATAAGTAATTAAAGTATACAACCACGATCCATATATTTTCCAGCTTGACAAGTAGAAGATCCATGATGGTAATAATCACATTATCCATCGTCGATTCTAGGGCGACAATATTCTTTTCTGCTTGAATCACATGTACCAAATACATGATTACAACCTTCTCCTAGTCCATAGAATGTTTATTCTTCCATAGAAGTGCTAACTTCATAAAAGAATCCTGTGTCTCTTAAAAGATTAGTTGTAAAAGGACTATAATAGGCCTATGTTGGTGATTAAGCTGCATTCATGTATTCATTTTGGATGACTGTGGTTTCCCAATGAGATCCTGCAGAACCTTAACCTCCATTATTTTCAAGAGGCATACCAAATAAGTTAGGACAATTGAAATATTTTCGAGCATAGTTCAAAACGTGAGGAGTTTACACTACTAAAAAAGGAGTTCCTCTTGCAATTATTGTATTAGAAGGTTTAGCATAAGGACGTCCCTATTAATCTACCCATCTAGGTATATCATTATTGCTAAAACCTAATATATGAGTCATTTCATGGATAACTATTTCCATTAAATCTTCAAATTCAACAGGATCTTACATATTTTTGGTTCCTAATATTCCTAAATTGAAATTAACTTAACCATGAGTAGGCCCTATACCATCTAAAAATTAACACCAAGAGGCATAGGCTAAATATGTTTCAGCTGGTTCAATTTTAAATTATGTATATATATGTAAATCAGAATTAATTCCTTTGTCTTTGTCGCTTTAAGGAATAGGATATTCACCGCATTTTGGATTATATTATCTATATCTCATATTTTATTCAGATTTTGGGATTATTTTTATTAACTCATAAAAATATTTACCAGCCAATTACATAGCTTTCGAGCAGGCCTCAATTAAAATTTTAGTCTAAGGAGAAGGAGCTAATCTTTAGAAAAAATTCATATCAAAAGATATTAACATGTTACGCGGTTATATGTTTCCTAAATTACGGACATCTACAGGTTCTAAAGGAGCAAGTGCTTCGTATTTATAGATTTATTTAATTTTATTATGTACACAGTTGTGTTAGAGAACTTTTAGACAGAAAATATAGTTCGTTAATAATATGATTATTAATATTTTTTTCATGTTTTTAATTTTTATAGCTTTTTTGTTTTATATAATTATTATATTATTTATTTATTTTTATTTCTTTTTATTATAGAAAGGACTTAATACTGAATTTTATTTATGATTATTATAATATATAAGTAGATTTATATTTTAATGTAATTTGTAATTTTAAGGATAGTTTTTTAATTCAAATCATATAATTTTTAACAATAAAAAAATAAAAATAAAATATATTAATTTATATTTTATGAATAAATTAATTAAATATAATTATTTTTATCAAAAATATGTAAAATAATTAAATATAATAAATTATTTTATTTTTATTATAATAAAATATTCTATAATTATCTAAAATAGTCTTTTTAAGAAGACAATAGTTATAATTAAATTTAATTTAGTTTATTTAAATATATACAATATATAACATTTTTTTTTTAAAGATAAATATAGTTTTTCTATTTCTGTATATATAATATAAATAAAAAGAAAAAAGTAAATAAAAATATATGAAAAATTATTATTTTTTAAATAAAATTTTATTTTATAAAAAAAAATTATATATTAATAAAAAAATTTTTTTTTATTTATATTTTAATTGTAAAAATTATTATTAATATATTTTAATTAATTATAATTAAAAATATATAATTTATTATCATATGAAATGAATTTCTTGAAAATAAAATTTAACATTTTTACTAAATCAAAAAAAATAAAATAATTTATATATTCAGTATAATTATTTATAAAATATATGTATAAGTTAATTGATTTTTTATTTCTTTTATAAATTAAAATTATATTATTTTATTAATTTTTATTAAAAAAATAAAATTTTAAATAAATTTTATTTAAGTAGAATGCGATAAATTTTAATGATAAAAAATATATTATAATAATTTTTTTATTTATATTATTTTTGATTTTTTGTTTTTCAATAATTTATAAAATAAAAATTTAAATAAAAAAAAGTATTGTCACATTTATTTATTTAAAATAAAATAAAATATATTTTTAAATTTTATTTAATATTATTTATTAAATATTAATATTTATAAATTCATAAAATAATTATACTATAATTATTGTTTGAAATAATAGAATTAAAATAAGTAAAAATTATATTCAAACATATAATTTTATTTTCAGTTTATAACAAAGTATACGTAAATTTATAAATAATTTTTTTTTTACTTTAAATAAAAATTATATTAAATTTATTTTTAAAATAAATTAATTATAATTTATAGGTAATTTTTAATAATTTAAAAAATGGAAAATTTTTAATTATATAAATATATATAAAAACATATGGATAAAAGCAATTAATTATGATAATTAAAAATAATAAATGAAAAAATTTATAAAAAAATTAATAAATAAACATAAGATAATATAAAAAAAATATTAATTATCTGTTAATTATAAAATTATATTGATTAAAAAATTGTTAATAATACATATTTAGGATAAATATTATAAAAATAACATATGGATTATTTAAAGAATTATACATTATTAATCTTATTTATTAAAAAACGAAAACTTAAAAAAAATAAAAATAATATTAAATGCATAGTAATATAAAAATAAATAAAAAAAAAATGATAATTTATTATAAAAAAGAAAAAATAAATAATAATAAATATAAAAATAAAATTAAATATATATAAATTAATATTTAAATGTATTTTAATTAATATTTATTAGGTATAAAAAAAAACAATAAAATAAGAAAAAAAACAAGTATATAAATGTATTTATTTATAAAAATAAAAAAAATAACAATAAGTAAATAAAAATATGAAAAAATTATAAAATCTAGATAGATAATATAAATATAAATAAAAAAAATTATATTTTATATTAATAAATATAAAAATTATATATTATATATATATATATATATTTAATTTTAAATTTATAAATATATTATTTTATTTTTATTTATTTTGTGATAAATATTTTAAATATTTTATTATATTAACTATTTAGGTTGTAAAGAAATAATTATAATATTTTTTTTATTCTTATTTAATAAATACATATAATCGTATAAATTCATTTTAAATTTTTTATTTTTATACATATAAATAAATTTATTAGAAAAAAAATTTTAATAATTTTAAAAATGAGTTATATAATATTTAAAAATTATTTATTCTAAATATAGTAAAAATTATTTTTTCCTAAATCTTTATTTATATTTATATAGTATGTATTATAATATTTTGAAATTCAATTAATTTTAAAAATAGTAATAAGTATTTTTTTATATACAAAAATTTAAAATAAAATTATTAGATAATTGTATAAAAAAAAAATTTTAAATATATAATAGATAATATCCAAAAAATAAAATTATATTAATAAAATATTTAGAAAATTAATTAAAAAAAATATAAAAAATAAAAATAAAAAAAAAAAATTATAAATATTAATATAAAAAAATATTTTAAATAATAAAAATTTAATTAAATAAAAAAGTAATATTTATAAAAAATTAAATGAAATATATAAAAAATTAAAATATAATATATAAAAAATAATATTATAATATGAAATTTATTACTAAAATAACCTTTTAAAAGAAATAATTGTAAATATTAATGTATTTTTTCTTAAAAAAATAATTTAATTATTAATGTAAAAAATCTATATTAATAAAAGTTAGTATATAATTTATATAATTATAATTATAATAAAATAATATTAATATATATATTAAAATAAAAATATTAATAAAAAATGATTGTATATAATAATATATAAATACAAAAATATATATATATTTATATATATAAATATAAAATTAATATTATATTTTTATTTATATGTATATATATATATATATATTCTTTATAAAAATAAAATGTAATAAAGATAAGAAATTTTATGTTTTATTTTTTAATTATAAATTATATCAAATGTTATTTTAAAATTATTTTATTTTTAATATTTCCACTATTTTATTTAAAAGATTTAATTCATTAAACTATCAAATAATTAAAAGAATTAGAAATTGAAAACGAGGAAAATATTAAAAAATTAAGAATAATATAATTAAAATTATTAGTTTTTTTATTAATATTCATTATATTATCCATATTATTAAGAATAAAAAATTAAATTAATATAAAAATTAATATAAATATATAAATAAATTAATAGTAATATTTTGTTATGCAAATTCAAAAGCCAACTGATTCTAGACAATAAAATGTTTTAAATAAAATTTTTAAAAAATAAAATAAAAAAAAATGTTTTACAAAAATATAATTTAGTATTTAAAGCTTGAATAAAAAAAATTATAATAATAAAAACTAGTGAAAAAAATAAAATAAAAAGTAGAAAAATATAAAAAAAAACAGAGGGGGAGAATAATTTTAATCAATACAGCAAGCATAAAAATAATAATATTTATAGAGATATTATGTAAAATTATTATAAGGTCATTAATAGGCAAGTAATAAAAATATTAATACATATTTATATGTATATAAATAAAAAATATAAAATAAAATGTATATATATATATTTATATTTATATATTTATATATTTATATATTTATTTATTTATAAATTTTTATAATAAATATATATTTATATTTATGTATAAATCAATATTTTTTATTTTATTTTATTTTTTTAAATAAAGGAAATGTTTACTTTATCTATCGTTTTTTTATATATATATGTATTTTATATTAAATAATATTTCATCTATTTATTTTTTATTTTTTAATAAATTAAAAATTCGTATATATTATATTTATTTAATTAAATTTATTATAATTAAAAATACCATTTTTTTTTTTATATAAAAAAGTTAATTTTATTGTTTTTTACGTTTTAAACTAAAATATGTCTTCATGTTTTCTGTTAGATATATTTAATATATTATCTTGTGTAAATGTCTAAATTTTATACAAACATAAATACTAAATTATTATTTTGATTAAACATATTGAATAATTTAATGATTTTAAAACTTTAAATAATTAATAATTTTGTTTATAAATGACAAAAAATAATATATATAAGATTAAATCTTTTTATAAATATAAAATTATTTGATATAATTTGTAGATTAAAGAATTCATATTATATTATTTTTATTTTATAATAATGTAAATAAAAAAAAAATATTATTATTATATAAGATAAATATTTTTAAATTTATAAATATTTTATAACTTAAATATTAAAAAAGATAATAAAGTTTATTTATATATTATCATAAGTTTATTTTATGAATAAAAATGTTAATGTTTTTTTAATACTTTTATATTTACTTAAAAAAAATAGATTTTTATTGTACAAATTAAATAATAGATTTTATATTAAATAAGATTATAAAAAAAAAAATTAATAGATAAATATCAAAATAAATATATAAAAAAAAATTAAAAATTATTAAAATAATATTACATATTTAAATAATCATATAAAAATATAAATAAAACATGTTGAAAATTGTTATTTCAAATTGTTTTAAATAATATTTTACTAAATAGTAAAGAATTAGAAATTTTATTATATATATTAAATATAGATTTAATAAAATATTAAGTAATTATAAAATATCTAAAACATATTAATAAAAATATACAAAATAAATATTAAATAATTAATAATAAAAAAAATTAAGAAAAAAAATAATTATAAAAATTAAAAATAAATAAATATTTATATATATAAATATATAGATTTATAAAATATATTTATATATATAAATATATATATATATGTATTATTGTTATATTTGTTCATAATTTTTATATATTTTTATTTGTTTTCTTTAATTTTTACATTTTTTAAAAATAATAATTGATAAATATTCTTTTTTATAACTATATCAAATACTTTTTTTTATATTTTTTGTATATTTTTTATTATTATATTTTATTACATCTTTAATTTTATTTAACAATAGAATTCTGATATATTATTATTTGTTTTATTATCAAAATATTTATTTAAAAAATCATAAATTATTTAATATGTTTAAA